AAGTTAGCAAGAGGTCAGGGAACCAGAATGAACACTCGGGAAGGGCCGTTTCCGGCCATCTGGGGGGTTTGTAAAACCAAAAATTTTCGTGTACGCTCCGCGCCAACCGATGGTGGCGCTCCGCTCAGATAGTCGTACCTACAACTTTCAAAATCCTGGCTACGCACCTGACGTCGTGTCTGTATGCATGCCAACTATCTGCTAAAATACTTCACATTTTGTAGTAATTATACATTTTAAAAGGAGAAAAAGGCTTCATGTGTACCTGACTATGAGAAATCTGGAATCTGTTAGACTGTTACCTCCTCTAAACAATAACAGCGAGCTCAATCTTCTCGGCTTCATAATTTCCCAAGTAAATATTTCTTTGCCGTTGGTCGGCGCTAGTATCGCGCATTAGAAATAGTGTACGGTGCTAAACGAAATACATATCAGAAGTAGATAATAAGGAATTATCTATTATCTACTTCTGATACATATTCATATATAATTTTGTTGAAACTAGACACCTGTAGTAACAACATACGCAGGAGTAGTTAGACATGAAAAACGTTGATCCCAATGATTCACTTCATCAATTATACGGTGGCAAATGTTCCAAACATCATTAAAAAGTGCGACAAATTGTAGGATCAGGCATGTCGACTCTCCGTACAGACACTATCTGCTAAAATATTTCACATTTTGTTAAAATTATACATTTAAAAGTAAGAGGAAGGATTCTGGTATAGGTTTATGTTAAAAATCTTAAATCTATTGCCTCCCATAAACACCAGCAGCGAGCTCAATCTTCTCAACATCCTAATCTCCCAAGTCAATTAAATTTTTCTTTGCCGTTGGTCGGCGCCAGTATCGCGCATGAGAAGCAGTGTACGATGCTAAACGAAACATATTCATATAAAATATTTGGTTAAAGTTATACACCTGTAGTGAGCATATACTATAGCTAGGTAGCTATACGATATAAAACTTGTTGATCCCAAATATTCATTTCGTAGGTTTTATCGCGGAAAATGTTCCAGACCTCATTGAAACGTGCGATGATTCATATATATATTATATCAGGAGTGAATCAAAACAATCTTTATTCATTGCTGAAATATATGGCATGTAATATAAAAGAATATAATGAGGGGGTACAGGGGGTTGTCTTCCTCCCGCCTCCCTCCCATTTTCCTACCACTGCCCTCCCCCTCTCCTCCCACCTCCCTCCCCTGTCCTCCTATCTCACTCCCTCAACGTACGGTACGTACACCTCCAGGATCCTTTATATTTTGCATTTTATTATTTTTTGAATGTCACTTAGTTTCTCTGACAGTTTGCGTAAAATATAATAAATGTATTAATCCTGTACAATGTATTTTCTCATGTATTTATTTCTCGTGCTATGGATTTCTTTTATTTTTTTCTACTTAGTTTATATTCGTCTTCGTCTTGCAGGACTGCTCTGTCTTTTCTCTCTCCTCTCGCTCTCTCTCGCTCTTCTCTCTCTTCTCTTGCTCGCTCTCTTCTCTTTCTCTCTCGATCGCTCTCTCATCTTTTCTTCTTCTCTCTCTCTCTCGCTCGCTCGTTCACGCGTTCACAAGCATAGTTATAATTAGTTTGTTTTTGTGATGATTATATTCCTGGCTCTCTGGCACTTCGAGGCTCGATTACTCCCGCTCCGTCCCTCCCAGGCTCCTAGCCCTTTTCTCCCGTTCCCGTCTCCTCCTCTCCGTCTCCGTCTCCGCCCTGCTACCCCTTCTTATAATGATCGCTTGCAGTCGGAGTGGTCTATATCAGGCGGTGACGGGAGATTACGCGTACGCATATATTGCCTAATTATGACTGAATCGTGCAGTTCAATTAAACTCAATATTACACAGAGAGTATCGCTAGATGGTCATATACGTATCTAGAATTTTAGAAATTTAATCATCTGTAATTCACTTCCGCGCGCATATATTTGCTATATTGACTAATCGTGCGTCAATAAACTCAATATTCACAGAGAGTATATGAATTCAAGCCGGTACGGGAGATCATTTGCATAATATACTCTAGATACCTATAGACACATGTCTTAGCTATACTCTCTGTGAATATTGAGTTTATTGACGCGCGATTAGTCAATATATTAGCAAATATATGCGTACCGTAATCTCCCGTACCGGCCTGAATATAGACACTCCCTTGGCGGTCACCATCGCGGCGCCACCATACGGTCGATCAAAACGCGTTCCAATGACGTCACCGGGCTGGTGTAAACAGTGATCGGTGGTCCATGTGTGTTGCTTCGGTTTACGGTGTAGGGTGTAGTTTGTGATTGTAAGTAAACCTGTGTCCAGTGGAGATTAATATACGTTGATGGACTACTTTAATACTACTTATTATAGCTCTACCATAGAGTCCTTGGTTGGCACTGTCAAAGTGGAAGCTGCTCATGTTAAGTGGGTTACATGTCGCGTCCACTGGCTCTACCCGTTAGACCACAAACAGGTGAGTATAGCTTTCTTTCAAGGCAGGTGACATGCACCGGGTTTTCCCACTTCCTCGCGAACAAGGAACATATTTCTTGGTAGATAAGAATAGCAAAGACATTGAAGAAGAACCTTTTAGATTTTCATGTCTCCACCCCAAAAATAGTGAAAATGAGGCTCAGGATCCCAAACTAGGATATTATAAGCATTGCATATCTAAAACACGTTACCGGTTATAGTTTAGTTTAGTTTAGTTATAGTTTATACTAATATATCATAATCATGACTCAGATACTGTTCGTGATGTATTCGTACCATTTATAAATTATTAATTAAAAATGTGTCTTGATACGAAATGCTTCTAGAATATTGTTTAATACATTAGCTGTGAAAGGTAGAATTAAGGCATTTAATGGTACAATTTACATGGGTAAAAAAATGTCTCAAAATTAGCTTGCAATTAAGCTTCTCACCGACTGAAATAATACTTAAATAATGCTCAGAAAATCTTATGACAGTAATATGCTATTAAAACGTATTCTAAAATGAATATAAGATCCATATCATGTAATCGCGGGAGTGAATAATAGAAATCTCTATTATTCACCTAATGTATATATATGTTATAAGTTCCATATCACTTTAGAAGTCATTTTTTAGCCTTGTGCCAGGTGATGTGGGAAAACTATGCGTTAAGAATATATTTTAGGCTCTTTTAAATTGTAACATCTATTGAATTAAAACTGATTTGATAACAAACTGAAAGGTATTTCAGTGTGTGTGTTGACAATTAAGGATGTTATACCCTGCTATATGAAATGTTTATACTAGAGGTTTTCTTTTCCTGGTCAATATTGACACGACACGTACACTACAGCTGTACAGTGCATTCATGGCCAGTTTTCAATTTTCTGCATTCTTAAATCATTATAAACATTGCTTATATCACACAGATGTAATGCCATCTGCCAGATCATACCAGCTGTAGATGCACATCTCTATACAGAGCACCATATAGACGTTGCACAGCTATATACAGGTTACTTGTCTTTTCTGCTAAAGACCAGTAATCATATGTGCATGTGTGCATACAAACTGCAATCCTCATAGTGGGCTGCTATAATTATGTAGTCAACCTTGGCTGCACATGTGCAGCTAGAGGGGGTGAGGCTATGAGCTACGACAGTGTACGATAGTAATCTATATGGAGGATACAGAGGGATGATGCATGTGAGCCTGGTTGTCAGTGCTGTAGTATAAGTCTGTTTATCAGGGGCAGTGCAATAAGTACGGATATGAATGAAAGCAGCTACTGTGCCTTGAATGCAACCGTGCACTAAAAATGACGTCAGAACTATGTATTCTACGTGCAATCTGCTCAACTGCGTCGTGATAATATACAGATTCGTAGTCTTCGGGCTTAAATGCGACGCGAACGTGAATTGATGCAGTTTGGTACGATGCATCCGATGTCATTTACAAAAGACACGTGATCGACGCAATGTTACGTCGAATGCCCGAAAGCGCGAAACTCGATCTTGAGATGCAGATGTACAGCGTGACCTGTAGCAGTAGAAAATCGAGGCCTCTGCAACGATTCAGGCCTCTCCTAACGTGTGGCGCCTCCCCCCCCCCCGATGGCGTCTCGTCTGCCAGTGTGTCATACGTTGTAAACAGCATCGATCCGCGTGTTGTGGTTACGTGCGACGCATTTTGTTTTCAGGTCGCGCCCGAGCTCTCTGCTCCCGCTGCTGCTGTGTTGTTGTGAAGGCGCGCTGGACGACTGAGGGACAGCAGCCAGAGTGACAGCCGTTGCCCCGCCGCTGCCTGCTTTCATCGATCTTGCTGCGTTATCGTTTCAAGCCAGCGTAAAGAGTCACCATGGGCTGCTGCTGTGCTAAAGAGGTACAAAGTCCGCCCTTTGGGCTACGCGTCGTGTAGCGCGGCAGAGACTGGCCGGCTTGCTCTAGCGTTCGCGATTGGGTTTCTCTTTCGTGCGCTTTTCACCTGCCGGTCGGATTACGATGTTCGCCGGGTTTCGGGTTGTGTGAGCGCATGTCGCTGTGCTGTTTGTATACATGTACGGTTCCCTGCGTTTATTAGAGACAGTGCTTGAGTTGCGAGGATGTACATGAATGTGGCTGTAATGGCAGGATGCATACAAGGCACTGAATATAAACCTGAGTCATTGTCATCCTCTGTAATGCATACACGCCTGTCTAGTCGTGAAGGGTTATATTTTCTGTACCTGTGGTATCCACCTACACAATATTTGTTCGTTTTGTCAACATACGAAAACACACATTTCCTAAATGTTTAATAAGAAGTGTGTACCAGGTCATAGTACAGGTGTTCACGAAAATACAAAGCCCATGCAGATGAGCAGACATACATACGTAGATATGGATATGTGTTGTAAACAGCGTGACCAAACAGAAAGCGAAAGGTTTACCAGGTGTGCAAAGTAAGGCAGTTGTCACTGTGTGCACTGTGCATGCACACTACGACATGCCCGGGAAATCCTCTTTTTCGTGAAAAACGGCATTGCCAGCGATACGTGTGGTCGCTCGGTGACCATGTACTGCCAGAAACGTGCTCTGGCATGTCCTAGTTCATAACTGCACGTGTTTTGTAAGGCACTGATGCTTGCGTGACGAACACAAAGGCAAGTGGAAGGAAATTGCCCGCTGCGACAGGCAAAATTACTGCAATTTTGACCCACGCCGTACGCACAATACCGTCGCTGTTGTCTACCCCGGTGATTCAATGATCTCAAAGTTTGCATAGAATTTCGCAATCCGCGTGGTTTTCTGTCCAACTGTATAGTTTAGAAGTCTATTTAGATTTCTATATTATAGTATTCACCTCTAATTATATCATGTGCCCTTGCCGCCAGAGTAAATAGCGGATGCCAATTTCATTCAACAACCGTAGTCATCCACACCGCCCACGCACCATTGGATGGTATTTGTTGTGGCGTTATATGAATCCGTGATCAAGGGTTGCAATAGTAGTTTGCAGTGGGTCACTTTAACGTTGTATCGACTCTCTTTTACAGATTTTCCATCTTGGTTTTTATTAGACCTGGGACCTGGTATTTATAAACGGTTCCCAGTTATATGGTGTATGTCTAGTGTCTACGTAATGATAACTTTAATAAATTAACCCTAACCAAAATCATAAACGTTAGACAGGTGTAACAAATTTAAAAAAAATCATTTAAATAATTTTGCGAACTCCCAGAGCAAAATATACCAACGGTGCGGTGCGTAAGTAAACAGTAAAACGGGCTGCACAGTTGAATGACCAGGACCTCATGGTTGTAACTTCCTTTAGCTTGCCAAGTGGTTAGACTTGCATTTCGACAGCTCGTTGAACTGTGGCGCTCGCTGTTAGTATTGTGAATCGCCCCGGGGATATACATACCTCGTGAGAACTGTAGCCGTTAAGATTACCAATGCTGCCCATAGATTCAAGCAAGTGAGTAGCTTTGTTGAAATTTGAGGGTATACCCCGAGCACTGGTATCGCCTCGGGCGTGCTTGGCTGCCGGCTTAAGTGAATTCTAAGCTCCTTATAAACGTTGACCGTGAATGCAGGCGAGGTTTTCCATTTTCTATCGGTAGACCTGTAGTGAATTACTATAGGTGCACGCATGTTACTTCTCAGCAAAGAATCGGTCACACTTTTAACCCTACGTCTATTGAAATTCATCTGGATGAGCATAGCCAAGTATTACCCCAACTGGGTTTGCAGACAGGCATATATATAAGACGGCAGAAATTCACCTAAAGATGTTTTTTTCATATTCAATGCTCCAGATAAATCCTGATAACGTTTCTACAGGGAATGATTCACTCAGAAACCCTGGCTGCATGTGGAGTAGGAAAGGGCAGAGTCTACGTGCGGCACGTGGGTGGGGTGACCATGGGGTGTGACAGGTGTCTTTTGTACTGTAGGTAATTACTGTGACTTTATGAGCATTTATGACAGGGCGTCAGAACACCGCGGGGTCATCACTAATCTGTCCTGTTAAAGATATAGGCTCTCTCAGTCAATCAACAGAGAGAGCGAGAACGAGAGTAGAGGAGAGGAGATGAGAGAAGAGGAGACAAGATGAGAGAGAGGGAGAGAGAGATGGGAAGAGATATATAGCGTGAGAAAGAGAGACGGGGGTGGCCAGAGAGAGGGAGAGACAAAGGGGAGAGCGAGCAAGAGAGAGAGAAATGGGAAAAACAAAGACCAAGGAGAGTGAGAGAGAGTGAGCGAGTGAGCAAGCGAAAGAGACTCTCTCTCTCTCTCTCTCTCTCTCTCTCTCTCTCTCTCTCTCCCAGAGAGTCACAGAGAGAGAGAGAGAGAGAGAGAGAGAGAGAGAGAGAGAGAGAGAGAAGGGAAGGGAGGAGGGAGGGAGGGAGGGAGGGAGGGAGGGAGGGAGGGAGGGAGGAGGGAGGAGGAGGGAGGGAGGGAGGAGAGAGAGAGAGAGAGAGAGAGAGAGAGAGAGAGAGAGAGAGAGAGAGAGAGTCTCTTTCGCTTGCTCACTCGCTCACTCTCTCTCACTCTCCTTGGTCTCTCTCTCTCTCTCTTTCTCTCTCTCTCTCTCTCTCTCTCTCTCTCTCTCTCTCTCTTTCTCTTGCTCTCTCTGTCTCTCTCAGAAAGAGAGAGAGAGAGAGCGCGCGCGAGAGTGTGCGCGAGCGAGAAAGAGAGAGACATGGCAAGTGAATTGCAGTTTCCCTGAGTTAATATCCTCTGCCCCCAACACGTACAGAACGACCGGGCTATAAAACGGCAAGCAATTCGCTCCGTGACGTGAACGGTTTTTGTTAGCTCTCAGCCAGCTAGAGACCACATACACTGCAGACCCGCCGCCGTGTACGTGCATGCTCGCGGGATTTTATTACCGTATCGTATCACGCAGCATCAGCATTCGTGTAAGCAACACATGCCCGCGTAACCAGGACCTAGTTACACGAGTGATTTGCGCGTGCGGTTTTACCGCCCTATACCGAAATCGCTGCGCTAGTTCGCTCGGGGGAATGGAGTGAGTGAACCCATTTGCAAGCAAACAAACGAGAGTGAATTAATTGATAGAACAGCATCGTGAAATGCTGTGGCTGTCTGTGTAATTCCGGTAGCTTATTCAAACAAACTTGTGTCATTATAAACGGATACTACCGTACAGCCGGATAACGTTAATGGTTTATATTGTAGCAGTGATATCCACAGCCACTGTATTATAGTATATTACTTATTGTATGATTATTTACAATGCATTCAATTCTGTGTTTTGTATAATACGTGTACGTGTGATTTTATCGGTGGCTTTAGCTACAGTTAGCTTTAGTCGGTTGTCATTGAATCTTGTCAAACTCATTGAAAAGCGTGAAAAATTCAGTATAAAAACAAAACTGAGACGCGCCAGCACTCCTGCCTGTAAGCGATACCGCGACCTTGCTTGTTAAAAGCAAAAGTTGTTTAGGAGTCTGTCCTGTGTGTTATGTACACAGCCTTTGAAAGGCGCCATAACATGTTTAGATATTCAACACATTATTCTGATTAGCAGGGGTTTTCCTTTGAAACTTAATTATGAGCAATTTGTGCAAAAAAAATTCCCCCAACATCTATGGTATATTTTTATGTATAATAGTGTATGAGTTCCCAAATAAGATATTTAATGGCCAGCAAAATATCATAGGTACATAAACATAGCTAAGTGTTTTAGATTTCTTTAAGCGTAAAATCAAAATTCCTGACAGAATATATACTAATGTAGTTAGCACATTTTGAATGTAGGGTATTAAGTTGTTTGATATATCACAAGAAGGTGGGCAAGTATCAAAATTGAATAGGCTTGCAGTCATACTACTTCACTTGTCATCATAGTTGTTATTTTCTATTTCATGAGTATGCATATCTCGCCACCCTGCACGCACGCACGCACGCACATACGCACCTGCGCACGCATGCACGGACGCACACACGCACGCATGCGCATGCACCCACACACAGTCACACACACACGCACGCACGTGCGCGCGCACGCACACACAGACTACGGTGACCATGTCTGTAATCAGAAACCTTTACTGTTTTCACCGATACCCGATATATATCTGCTCTTTCTCAGTTTTCACCGATATCTGCACTTTCTCAGTCTTCACCGATATTTGCTATTGCAGGAGGAGGAGAATGTGAACCCGATGAAGAAACCACGAGGTTGCACGGATGTTGTCGCGCTCATGCTCTTCCTGCTATTCTGGGGCGGCATGGTAAGTGGCACAGCTTCCATTGATCACAGCCTCCTTCCGTCCCCGCATCGGTCGCGTAGCGCGTCGGACGTTGCGGTTCTAAAACCGGGCGGTTAGTGACAGGCAGATTTATGCCACTGTCTTTAAGCTGCTATCAGGAGCCTGTGTGTCGTATTGCTCATGCGTGTCAACGTAGCGGCGCTCCGTCTTCGTGTGCGGAGTCTAAGTAGCGAAGTTGCTGGGAGAATTTTATTTGGGTGGAGAGGGGGCTGGCTTCCACCAATCCATTCTCTTTATGGGGCGTATTTGTTTGGCTTTTTTAAAGTAAATACGATCATATATATACGCTCACACACATGCTCTCACACATGCACACGTGCACGCATACACCCGCTCACACACACTCCACGCATGCACACACGCATGCACTCACACGCAAAAACGCACGCACGCATGCACGCACGCACGCACGCACGCACGCATGCACACACAGACACGTGCTCACTCGTAGATACAGTATCATTTCCCACATTCTATAACAAAGTTACAAGAACATTCTCGTCTTCGGTAGATTGTCATCGCCGCGTTTTCCTTCACGTTTGGCGACGCTAAACGACTGATCTACGGCTACGACTCGTACGGCAACATCTGCGGCAAGAACAACACTCCCATAATGAATCTGACATATTCGGGCATCGACATGACCGACAAGAAGTAAGTTTTTCGCTAACCGCATAATTGCAGAGTCTGTTATTTCCCCCCTCCGTTTATTGAATCGCCGTGGTGCAAACCTCCTAGCCTGCACACCCACACACTTGCACTGTGTGCACGCAAAAACACGCCACTTATGTGAATGGATAGGTACTTTCCTCCTCTGCTCGCAGGTACGTATTATACAGGTGAGTTCACACAGGTAACCTCTCTCCTCCTCCCATAGGTACATATAGGGGAGTTATTGACACATGTAACCATCCTCGTGCTCCTGCAGGTACATACAGGTGTGTTATTCGCACAGGTAACCTCTCTCCTCCTCCCATA